TTGTGTCAAGGCAACCAAAATCCACTACCTTAAAGAATGTGTAAAAAAAAAATAAAAAAAAAATCCTGGCCCCATTAATTACAATTTGGAATTAAAATTTCTCCAGTGTTAGATCAGTTTTATCCATAAATTTATGGCTGTTGAGCAGCCCCGTGGCCATGTGTTCATGATTAGCAAAGTCAATGGGGAAGCCAGCAGGAAATCGGAAGTTACTCCCACTCCAATGCTTTTTTGCCCATTCATGTTTAAGTAAGTACACGTCATCTACAATTTACAACAGTTTGTTTAGTGACCGTTCAAAGTTACAAGGGCAATGAAAAAAGTGACATGGCCGCTTTTCACACTTATGACTGTTGCACATTCCCTTGACATTGTGATCAAAATCCAGATGCTTGGCAACAGATTCATATTTATCTGACATCGGTCTTGCAAGTCTGCAAATCCAACTTTCCCACTGTCTCATTTACAGCCCGATAAGCTAGGAAGGGTCCCTTTGGATAAGGTGACCAGATTTTAACATTGGTAAAGCGGGACACCATTTGGGGGGGTTTCTTCATTAAAAATTTGGTCTATATGGATTCTCTCCTCTCCTCCTGGCACGCACCCCACTGACTAAGGTGCTTCCTTTCACCCGCCTGAGCTCTGCTGCGGGCAAAAGAAAGCACTTTAATCAGTGGGGTGCTGGGGAGAGGACTGCGTCGTGCATTCTTTCCAAAAATTGGGAGTTTTTTAAAATGCTGCGGGACGCGGGACAAATTGTTAGAAATTGGGACTGTCCCACCAAAAGCGGGATGTCTGATCACCTTACCTTTGGAGCAGGTGTAAAATGCTACCGGTTTGGGCTGGTTCACTCAAACCGGTAGTAAAAAAATGCTGCTGGTTCCCAGAACCAGTAGTAAAAAATACTAAAAAAAAAAGTTCCCACGANGAGCACCTAGAAGCGAAGAGGAACATACCTGCCAAATTTCAAGTTTGTAGGATTTACGATTCTGGAGATTTTGTGATGAGCGGGTGGCACTTGGGGTTAATAGATAGATGGATAGATCGATATGGATGGATATATAGGTGATATATAATTAGATATATGTGTGTGTGAAAGGGCGGGGCACATTATATACTGTATATGTACAATATAGGCCCATCTCTTCCTGGTTTTCTTGGCAAATTGACAATTCTTCCATTTGTATATCTGTTGAGATTTTAGAAAATTCTACAAGGAATTGTGCCCTCAAAATGCAAATTGGGCTTGACATTGTCTCGAAAACTTTAAGGAACTGCAAAGAGGGTAGTTAGCTCACCTTCAGATTGGCTGGACTTTTATTAGAGTCACGGACTATCAAATGGGTAAACGCATCCGATGTGCCCATTTTCTGCCAATGTCTAACCTCTTCTTAAAAACTTCCAGTGTTGGAGCATTCACAACGTCTGGAGGAAAAGTTGTTCCACTGGTTAATTGTTCTGTCAGGAAATTTCTTAGTTCCAAGTTGCTTCTCTCCTTGATTAGTTTCCACCCATTACTGCTTCTCTTGCCTTCTGGTGTTTTGGAGAATAGCTTGACTCCCTCTTCTTTGGGGAACCCCCTGAGATATTGGAAGACTGCTATCATGTCTCCCCTAGTCCTTCTTTCTATTAAACTAGACATACCCAGTTCCTATTTTTAGTCTCCAGTCCCCTAATCCTCTTTGTTGCTCTTCTCTGCACTCCTTCTAGAGTCTCCACATCTTTTACATCGTGGCGACCAAAATTGGATGCCGTATTCCAAGTGTGGCCTTACCAAGGCCTTATAAAGTGGTATCAACACTTCACGTGATCTTGATTCTGTCCCTCTATTGATGCAGAGATGGATGCTGATAAGACTGAGTTTTGGGGCCGCCTCCCAAGAAAAACCAACCCGCATGTCAGTCATTCCAAACTGGGCCCCGCGTGCATATCTGAACATTGAAAAACACATCAAATTCAGTGTGCTTTTATTCACGGGAAAGGTGAAAGGGGACGGAGTGAAAAAAATACATCTATATACAAAGCTACACATTTTGCATTTGGACACTAACAGTGTGAAGGATTTTTTTTTTTTTTTACAAAACAACAACTTCTCTATTCCAGTGTTTTGGTTTCAATGGCTCACTTCAAAAAAAAAAAAGAAAAAGAAAAAATAAATTTTTCACTCTTTCTGATTAAAGAGAAAACACATTTCCCCCCCACCCCACCCACACCTCTACGGGTTGCAATTGGGAGAAAAGTCCTGTCTTGAAATAAGAAACAAGGGTTGTCGTCCTTTTGTGGGTTGAAACGCACAACAAGGCAACGAAACAAAAAAAAGCATCGGCTTTTTGCTAAACTTCGGCGCGGAGGAGGAAATGAAAAATAAGCCCAGGGAAAAAAAAGCAAGCCACAAATGCAAGAGATTGGCTTCGGTGCGTAAAGAGAACGCATGGTTTCATTGCATAGAATTTTCGGTCAATTCAGAAGGAATAAATATATATGTATCAGGACATCCACAGGCTATTCCCAGGTCAGTTCCAGCCC